TGGTTTAAGATAGCAAATACAGAGGTATTCCCAAAACAATAGTAGTTTACCCACTAAATTAACTACTGTTATAGGGCTAGGCCCTGTAATTACTGCTGGTAGCTAAGCAATAGTACTATACCTTACTTCCCAAAGTACATTGTAAGCCCTGTCAGTGTGTGCACTACAGGGCCTCACCCACCTAAATCTCAATACTTAAAATTAACTAACTTTCTATTTAAAGATATTGGTTTTTTCTATAAATAGTATTATAGAACTTCACTTACATTCCAGAATTTCGTATTTCTATCCAGGTAAGTAGGATCTAGAACTCTAAAACCTACCGCAACTCATTTAGGATAAAGGAATATAGCCGGATCGTAGTTATTACCCCCCCTCCTCCTCTCCTTATAGCTACAGCTCTCGTTTATCAAACCAGAGTTTCACCACTCCTTATTAATTATATACTATAGTTTATCGGAGTATCTCCTACAATCCAAAGTATATAGTATACTAAAGCTAATTACTATATTCTAGAAGTTTACCTATCTATACTCGCAATTTTCAGGTATAAGAACCACTGCCCAACAAGGAACTATATTATATTATTATCCGGTAGAAAAGTAGTATAGTTTTATACTAGCCGTTCTTAGCGAGAGAAGAAAGTAGGACAGCTATAATTGCAAAATCCAAGGTATAACTATATAAAAAAACCTAATACTCGTTAAACCTTAGCAAGTATAATACCATCCACCTCCCCCTATATTTCCCACTTCTATATAGCTATCAGTTATACCGTTAATTATAGATAAAGAAGGAGACTTTAAATCTAAAGATATTTTCTAACCCCCTTCTATAATTTTCAAACTATATATAGTATTAGCCAATATCCCTAAAGCAGAAGGTAAACAAAATAATTAGGAAATAGAAACTACTAAATATTTACTAAGATATATATTTACCAGATATTATTAGTAATATAGGTCTTACCAGCTTACCCTTATATTCTAAAGCAAGGATCAGTATAAAAGTTACTTTTTAACAATAAATATTATAAATAATTGAGATATTTACTAATATTTTAATAGAGAGTTTACTCGAGATATTTTTACTACTAATTACCGGAATATAGCTACTACTTCATCTAGTATACTAACAACCAACTCTCGATTATATTTTCTCCTTACCGGCAGTACTAAATAGAAATATCCGAAGGTATATACAGTATTTCATACCCTTCGCAAGATATATCCTAGTCTTACCGAAGGATATAACCTATATTTTAGCGGCGATAGGTTTTATTTTATAGAAGAGATATTGTTTTTAGAGATTCGGGCGGATAAACTATAAAACGCCTTTTATACTATATAGTCTCTCCCCTCATAGGTTAAGAACCAGCAGAACCAGCTTCTTAGAGTTCTTAACCCCCGAACCGAGCTAGAGAACAGCGAGTTTATAAGACTTTTCTAGCAGGTATTTATAATTAACTATAATCGGCTATATATAATCTAGAGAAATAGAAGATTTCAGTAGGTAGAGAAACTATCTTTTATATATAAGTAAGTTAGAGTACCGTTCCCTAATTACCATTTATAATTACCAAATAACAGGGAGTATTCGTAAGAATAGTATTCTCAGTTAGTAACTTTATCTATATTAAAGAAGAAGATTCAATACTCTCTATTACCTAGCTTAATATATATTTACCTATTATTAAACCGGAATTATATACCTCTTTACCGTTATTATATTTTCATTATAATAGTTAAGTTACCAATATATAATAAACTCTTTAGATACCCAATCTATATATATCTAGCCGGTATAGACTTATCAGGCTTTCTAATATCCTAGTAGATAGAATATAGTTTTACCTCACAGTACTAACAGCTCTCCCGACGCTCTCGATATCTATAGGTAAAGTATAATATTTTCTTTATATAATAATAGTATAAGGGATTTCGCAGTTAAGCTAGGTACCTAGGGTAATAAAGATAGACAGTACTCTAATATATAATAGGTTACTTCTTTAATTATAATCCTATTAGATAAGTATATAATATACTATAAAATTTATATTAATTGAAGAACCGCTATTATATTTTACTACTCTAAAATCGGATACTTAGGGGTATTTTGCATTTAAGGGCACTTAGTCTATATAGCTATCCCTTATAGAATAGCTGCCTGGAATTAGCAACTAGAAGTATTAATACTAAAAAAGTAAGGCCAACTGGCAAAGCTCTATAACTAACTGCCCTACTAGTTTTGTAAACGAAGAATAGATGAAACTAAAACCCCGCTACTTCTAATAATCGGTCCCCTTCTAATCAACCGAATTACTTTCTTACTATCTAATATTATTATTATCTATAGTTACATTACCAACAATATTACCAATATATTGTAGAACCTCTATAGTATTATTATCAATTATCATTAAGAGTATACTTACTTTATAGGCAGATATATATAATACTAGTAAATATATACAATACTATATAATCCTATAATTCCAATTTACCGATATATAGAAAAGGTTTAGCTATATCCTATTATCTATTCAAAGGTATTAGCTATAACGATAGTATAAGTAGGGCACTGCTTGGACAGACCAACATCGCAGTACAGGCAGGCAATGGCGCAAAAAAACGCTGGAAACGGTCAGCAGCGGCACCGCAGCTACTCCCCGGAGGACTCACTCTCCGATACGGTCCTCGGTATCGTGAGTCCGGACCACCTTCTCGAACTTGTCGGCTTAGGCCGGCTTGTCATAGCCCAGGGGCAGGGCGGGGCCGACACGCGGAGCAGCCATTGTAATGTCGCTAAATATTTGTTGCGGACCGCTGCAAGGCTACTACGGTTAATGGGGGGGGGGGTAGGGGAGGGGGAGGCACTTACTAAATTGATTATTGGTTGTAATAGGGAGAGAAGGAAGAAGGAAAGGAGGGCAGAGGGCAGAATATATACTGCCCTCCTTCCCCCCCCCCCCCCCCCCCCCCCCCCCCTACGAGAACCTTAAGGGCTGGTCACATAACAGGAGCCTACTTTCCCTCTCCTTCCTTTACTATTTCCTTTTGTTTTTATTTTGTTACTTTAACCTCGAAGGGTAGGTAAGCCCTTTCGAGGAGATGGCGCTACGATGTAGCAGCGAAGCCGCAGCGGAGATACAGGGGTTTTCATCCAGCTTCGGCATAGTTTTTCCTACCGATACACTAGTTGAAGGACCGTATATACTTAGTACCGAGCGTGATAAGAGCAATAATAATATAATGATAGTATAGTATCTCTAGTTCTATCTCCCATTTATCATTATATTTTCGTTATAGTATCTCTATCCCGGCTACTCTTTTTAAATGTTAATAAGTACATTGTACTAATGTAGGAAAATTAACTATAGTCTAATTACTCGATTACCCCCCCTCTACCTTTACCGAAACCCAATATATAGATGGATTTTACAGTTAACTTAATTTCGTATCGCCTATAAGCTTTCAGGTCGAGTTTCACCAATTCTACTACACTATCTTATACATCTAAATATACTAACCTTAAATAAGAACCAGACTCAAAGTAGTTATATCTATATTATAAATAATACCAGAACTCTAGGTTAGGCTTAAGTAATATTTAGATCTAGGGTATATACTAACTATAAATAACTGGATTAGTATCCTATCTAGCTACCTCGCAATAACTACCTAGATTACCAATACTATTAATACCTATACTCTTATCCAACTCTCAGATTAATATTATTAAACTATATTAATCGGTTAGTTACTATCCCTATATATATAGGGCATATCCTATACTAACCTCCGATAGACTAGCTAGCTCTCTGTTTATAGTACTATACCCAATATCTATAATAGTATTTGCTCCCTCGGCTATACTCTTCGAAACCAAGCTAATACTTCTAGGTTTTAACTTACCAAAACATTTTATAGTTAGCCGTTGAAAGTAAACAATCTCTATAATTTAGTAGGAGCACTACTTATTGATTTCTCAGTTACTATATAGTATATTATAGCGAAGCCGCTCCAGCTAGTACTACCCTACCGATATAGCTCTATCTAAGAACTAGAATAGTTTCTCGGGCCTACCGGCTTTTACAGTAAACCTACCTATAATATCCATTAGTTATATAATATCCTATACCGGCCAATTAGTATTACTAACTATTTATAGTCTTATTATTACTCTTACCTATCTATAGTAAATATTCCCTTTCTAATTAAATATTATAATATAATACTAATAATATATAGGTTACTTATTTATTTTATCAATTAGTTACTCTAAACCTTAAGTAAGATCTCTTACTCTATACTATAAACTAATTTACTAATATTAGACTATAGTAATATCGATACTACTCTCTCTATAAATATAACTTATATAAAACAACCTACTATCCTCTATATCGATAGTTATATTATATTAACTGTTCTTTTTACAGTTATTCTGAGATTATCGGCCAGATATATATAGTTCTAGGCTTTTAGGGTTTAAAGTCTATAGAGGTTTAGGTTTCGGTTAAGAATAGAATAGCAAGTAGAGAGTAGCAATCTAGTAAATTCCTTAAATAGTATTAATATCAGCAATATTTTATACTACCAATATTTCCTAATATTATAAAGTCTCTCCTCTATAGATATCTCGAAAGTATAAAGGATATAACTATAAAAAGCTTATCGTCTTGGAATTATCCCTACTACTCTATAATAGTTTTATACCTTAAAGATCCGATTCCTTAGTTAAAATCATCCCTAAAGTACTCTCTAGGAGAAAATAGTTATTATATATAGGACTATCATCTTATTATAAAATATACTATATTTATTAGATAGTTTTATTTATAGTTTATCTTTCTAATTAAACTTCTTTCTATCGAAAACCAAGCTAAGCTTAAAATATTATTTAATAGAAAATAAGCTCTACCAACCAAAACGGAATCTAATCTAAAAATAACCCTTACAATTAACACTATCTTATAAAGGAAAGTATATACAAACTTAAAAAAGCGTTATAAAATATAATAGACTTAGAGTTAAATATTTTAATTCAACAGACTTTTCAGATTACAATACCATCTTCATCCAAGATAATCGTACGCAACGATGATAGTTTTATCGTCGAATTCGCTTCATCTCCAGGACCCTAACAAGTCGATCTTCACGTAACATAATTTTGAAACTTCGGGGTAATCTCCAAGATCATTTTCACGCACAGTGGTGGCGCGCTATGGTTCCTGTTGACCTCTCCAACGCTCCGACGAGCTGCAATCTCCACGGCCCGACAGCCATCGCTTCTCCAGCACCAATGGAAACCTGCAACGTAGACCCGCTTGCCCGCCTGCCCAATGGCCCCCGACATGCACGCTCTACCAGAGGAAGGCACCGCCGACAAGGCTCTTTCCGTGCTGAAGAACGACCATCTCGAACGAGTAATCCAATTGCGTGACAAGATCTGCGCCCGCGAGACCGACCCGGAGAGATACGAACTGTGTGTGCAAATGCGGGACGAGCTTCTCCGGGAGAGCTCCGAAGTCCAGCTTCTGGCCGCCGCCTACGATCATGTCATGTCTACTCATTGCGCCAAGTACAAGGATCGGAAATTGGCCAGGGAAAAGCGGTCGACCAAGCGGACAAAACTGGACGAGGATTCAGAGTGGAACAGGTTCCTCGACGTTGCAGAGAGCGGTCTGGAGTTCAAATCCCAATGTCTCTCTCCGCTAAAGACGGTAGCGGCCTGCTGGGGAGAGGATGTTGTCCAGCACTACCAGTGGGTTTACAAGGGACCCAAATACTGCAAAGTGCTCTGCACAGCAGCACGGAACGTTAACACCTGGAAGAGGGCCGTAGAGGCGTTGAATTGGTTGATGCTCAAACGATCTCAGCAGGGACCGAGTCTCAAGCGGCGCCCGATCCACGACTCGTCCAATCCCATCCAACAAGGCGATTTGGACAACTTGGCCAAGTATCCGCCGGACACCGAGCGGGCCATCGAAGCGCCCCAGGGGTTTGGCTTCGACAAATTCGGCCTCCTAGTCTATGAGAAATACGCTTCCGTCCTGCCACAGGCCGATAGACTTGTTAGTCCGAGCTCGGCAACCCCGCCAGAAGTTGGCAATTCTGATACCTCTGAGGAGCCATCGATATCAGACAGCACTACTAGCACAGGCCTAGAGACGGCCGCTGCCTCGGAGGGATCGGATCGGATGAGTTTAGACCCTATCGTGCGGGAGGTCATCAATACCGTCCTTGCCGAGGGCGCCAATGAGGCGATGACAAGCTGCGGCCAATCTAGCAGTGATTCTAGTGAGGATAGGGCTGCAATTCTACCTCCTCCTGCTCCCCCTGACTCCGCTAATGCCACGCCCGATTCCTCTATTACCTCGGAGGAATTAGATCGGACGGATTCCGACACCGACGGTGCTGGGGCCGAGGATGGTCTTGGCCCTGCGAATGCCGTCCCCGATCAGTCTATCAGAGTGGCACCTCGCCCACGTCCGTCCTACCAGGGCCTCGCCGGCACCAAAGCAGCCAAGCCCAGACAAGCTCGACTTCCCCGGGTCCAGGTTACAGAGATGCCGCCAGACTGCTGTTCGAAAGTGCCATCATCGCTCCGATTGGCCTTGACCAACCCGTCTCTGTTCGACCACGAGGCAGCAGCCCAACTCTTCCCTTTCCTCGGCCAGCTTTGCCGTGAGCACCTTCAGCGCTATGCCGAACTTCGGCACCACACCGAGCAGCCACTGGCTATGGCTTTGGCCAAAGGCGCCGGCTTGCTTGAGCATCTAAATACACCAAGCAAAGCCGCGTTGTACGCCGATGCCAGTACTTCCTTCCGCCGCCGCAGAGCCTCGCTGTCCGATATCACCACGCCGTCGAAGCGGCCACGGCTCGACGCGCCGCTGGCACTCTCTAAGTGGCCAGGCATTCGTGGAGACCGGCCGGCGCAGGACATTATAGCCGACGATGCCTACCGGCGACGAGTGATGGCCGAACTGCGCCAGGTCACGCCGGTCGCTGGCTCGCACGGCGAGGAAACCAATCGGCTTGTTTACGAATTGTTAGAGAGGGTTCAGCACCCAAACACCGACAGCTGGCCGTGGCAGAGTCGAGGCCTGGTTTTGCACTGGCGACGAAGCAGCACATATGGTCGAGTCTCGGTCTCCCGTCGACGCTCCGATCTTCACCAAAGACCAGCAGCCGTTTAGATGGGGCGAGGGAGGACGCCCGGTTGAGCAATTCTTTCGGAGAACGTGCGTTGTCGACCAGTTTGTCTCTGTACAGATCCCGTCTCGCAGTTCTGACGAGGAGTCCTTTCAGGTACGCGAGCTCAGTAAAGTCCGGGAAGAATTCCTCTCCCAGAAGCGCACAAGCGACCCATTGAACGTCCTAGATCTATAAAGCCCTATTACCTCTATTCTACCGAGTTTCTTGACCGGAGAGAATTGCGAACTCCTTCTTCACGTTCGCAACAGGGTGTTGATGGCAGGGAGCGCTGAGAGAGTGGTGGCGTCCACGGAGCAGTGGAGCGAGTGGAAGGACGTCGATAAATGGGCCCTGCTTTCGCAAGGCGGCCATCATACGGCTCCACACATGGACAGTCACGGCTACTCTACGTGGATCACAGCGCAGGAAGGGACAATCGGGTTCATCTGGATGTCATCCCCAACAAAAGAAGAACGGGAAGCGTGGATGGCCAACCCCCACTGCTATACCGGTGGCAGATGGAGATACGTCCTCATTCGGCCAGGCGAGACTGTTTTTCTTCGGGCCGGGCACGATCCACGGTGTCTTTCGAGAACAAAATTGCCAGACATTGGCTTTCGGTGGCCATGTTCTCCAGTGGTCTGGCATCCAGCGCTGGATCCAAGTTGTTCTTGCCGAGCTGAACAACCCGGCAACCACGAATGAGGAGATGAAGACGACCGCGCCGAAGCTCGTCGGCGTGGTAGCAACGCTTGTCGAAACCAAAGTGAAGGAGGGTCGGGTCGAGGAGCTTGGTGGCGAGGCTGCAGTCAAGGGCTTCTTCGAATCCGTCAGAGAAGTACGGAGAAAACAAAACTGGAAGAATTTCAATTAGTCGCAGAGAGTTGAAGGCCATAATTAAGCAGGAAGGGGGGAAGGGTGTGTTCATTGCCTTTGTATGGTTTCCTGAGTAACAGTTCCGTAGTCAATCTGATCTAGTAGAGGGGAAAGGCTCGGCGAGACACAGCCCATCGTGGATATTGCCTCTCTCCTTAGGGTCCCGTCTCAGATGAGTCCCTGTCTACTACCCGGAAGCCACCATCGAGTACTGTACCAGACTTGCAGCGTTGACGGCACTTTCTAGCGGCCCGTCGCCGGCCCCGTTTTCCGTAGCAGCAAGCCCCTTGTCTCCCGGCTTCGGTGCTCGGGGTGGAGCTGGGGTGAGGGCGCTGAGCATTTCCGGGCCGACACCAAGCTCGAGGATAGGCTCGCGTCCCAAGAGCGGTGGTGGGAAGCGCAGGGTTGCACACGTCCGAGCCGCCGGCGAAGAAACAGACAGGTGGTCCCCCGAGGAGGACGCGCTGATCATTGAGCTCCGGGGCAGCGGCATGAAAAGGACCACATCTCGAAGCGCCTCCCAAGTCAGAGCTAGGGTCACGCCAGTCAAGAGGTAATCCCGGTCTGCCGCCCAAGGTGGCTGATGACCTTATGGATCCCAATCGCATTCGGTTTAGATCCGTCAACTTTGATAGAGGCTGTCTGCACACAAGCCGCCCCGTCGGCGCCTCCCTGCGGCAGGCGCGCCCTATCCACTCGGCATACTCTCGCGGTCAGTTGCAAGTGCCTGTCGTGTCGGGGTCGTCGTGCGTTGAACCACCCTCGATATCCAGCCCTGGAGGCTTACCAAGCTGCTCCTTTGATGAGATGCAAATATCTATTCAAGACATTCTTATGAACGAAGCTCGAGGAAGGACAGCGCGCCGAACTTGGATCGTCGGAGGGAGGTACGTATCCGGGGTCTGTGGGACTGCTTCCGTGGTAGGACTAGTATCTCGTCGGTCCTGGAAGGGAGCAGGATGAATACCGAGGGTCTCCTAAGCCGCCAGGGAGAGTGTGTAGCGTGGCAGGGCGCGTGCAACTTAGGAAGAATCGCTGCTCTCTGCACTCTCGCTTCCCCCAATAGTCACACACTTTGCCGGATACGCAGCCCAGTCTCTTGCTCCGCCACACGGAGGCCGCTCGCAATCAGCGCAGACCGGCCGCCCTTGAAGCACGCGTAGTAGTCCCCGCCGTCGTCGACCTTACCAAAGATGAGAGCCATCCCGCACGCCCAAAATGGGAGGCCCTTGCCGCTCGCCCCGAGCCATTCACGTTGAAATCAGGCGGCTTCACACGATTTTACACGTTAAATGACGGAGGTTGGAAGGATAGCAGCGGCAGCGCGCTCAGAAGGCATGTTTTCGCTCGGGCTCGTCAACGGCGTACAGAGCACAGTCTACGACATATCCTGGAAAGAAGGTGCCAACGTGCTGCGAGCCCCGCCCGGTCATCATGGTGGCCTTCGATAACTCATATTCAAGAGAGCAGTTCCCGCTCGATCACAGTTCACAAGTCACCAGGACAATGTCGTCTGCGATATCTCTACGCGAGTTTGCTTCTGGCTTGGGCGTAGGCGCAGGCCGACGTCGCAGTGAAGGAGGAGGCTCCTGGGCTGGACTCCTTCCCCCTCCTAACGGACAGGACGCAATTTCCACGCTACATCGGGGATAAAACTCTGTCGCATGAGGAACGAGCATTCAAGTACTGTCGACCAGCGGTGATGTACGACCATTTCGATAGGAAGCACGCGCAACAGCCAGGCGGCGTGAAGCGGATGTTGTGCAACCACCCGAAGTGCAAGGAGGAGGCGCTGGAGTTCAAGCACTTGAACCATTTCAAGAACCATGTAGAGAGTGTCCACAGCGTTAAACTACGTGAATGAGGGAAGGGAGGAGGATTAAAGATTTGGTAGCAGGGGATAGAAGCATTGAATTTGACGGTCTTTGTAATCTGCACTGACCTTCACCGATGGTCCTATCAGCTCAGAATTTTGTTATGCTGACGCATGTACATAACGAGATCATATGCCAAAGCTCCAGATACCCTAAGCATATCTCGCATCTCCTCTTTGTCCAGCCATGCAGAATGCTTATGGAGGGTTTCCACGATGATGTCCCTTAAACCTCTATCGTCTCCAATAGTAGATGAATATACCTCCGATATTGCTTGTAGGAAACCATCCAATGTGACTGAGGTCGTCGCTGCCTTGAAGTGTCGTTGCGCAACTACCTTTAGTCCACGGATCAGGTACTTTTCTGCTAAGGCGTAGACCTTTGCATGGGTGACAAGGACGTTCGTGACCGGCTCGTTGGTATCGGTTTCGTCTCTGTTCGTTACTGACCCATCAAAACCAATACCCTTGTCCTGGGGCTTTGTGTCGTAGTCAAAGTGGTACAGATAATGTACCATTATATGGACAAGCTGGGGGATCGTCGTCTGGGAGGTCAATCTTTCCTTCTTGTGTCTCCTGGAGTGGAAACGTTAGGTTAGAATTGTTGCAAGTGTATGAACTGCCACTGACCTTGAAGCCTGCACGGCATGCTACAGCGAGGAACTCGGACTGCATGCATACGATAGCCTTATGTACATGGTGCTCCTTCCCTCTGCAGGATATCACGAGGTCTGAGTACTCCCGGCTGGAGTAAAGCCTAGCCAGAGACTATTGTCAATACCTGCAAGTTCCAGGATAGAGGAACGACAAGAGCAAAATGATTAGTTATACCCTTTTACCAAAGATTTAGAGGGCTCATCCTCATCCAAGTCGCGGGCTGACTGGGTTCCAGGCAGCGGCATCGCCGAACTCAATGTCGTTGTCCGCACAGGAGTGGCAGGGAACAAGTACGAATAGGCGTACGCATGCCGGTCCGAGTCCTGGCGGTGCTGCTGAAGCGCCTTTGCACTTTCAAAATAACGCTTGCATGGGCTACAGTAAGGCATCGATCCCGGTCGAGAGCATACCTCAAGCCTTTAAGTAGCCGTTTGCTATCGCAAGCTGTTCTCTGTTTGTCTCGTGTCGTTGCAGCTAGACCCCGCCCAACGGTAAACGGTCGAGCGACTGAGCGGGGGTGTGGGCTTGGCTGGCATTTGACGAGGTAATTGGCAAAATCTGGAATCCACCTCCTGTGCGAGCCAATCAAAGGTTTGGATACTTTTGGTTAGTTCAGACGATTCGGGTGCGGTGGCCTGCGACTTGTTGGACGCCTACTTTCAACCCAGCCTCAAGCGCCGGCGCACCCTTTGTCGCCTTATGTCCTGGGCTTCGTGTTCCGGAGACAATCGTTCCTACAAGCGACCTAGCCGCGTAGCTTCGAGGAGGAGGGTCGCTATTTATGCGGCGGGCACGGCTGCCGTACAAGAGCGAGATCGTGGCGGCGTGAACCTAGTGCGGTGCCGTGAAATGCCGCACGTGCGCACAGGCTCCGGGTCGGAAGAGCAATTGATCCACACCTGATATCGGCCCCATATCTTCATTGCCACTCGAACGCCGGCACCTGAAAGTGTTCCTCCACATCTTCTTGTCCACCCACCCACTCGCACGGCCAGCAACGCATCAATCTCCTCCATCACAATGAACCACGACGTTTCTGAAATGATGCTTTCCTCGTTTTCGGGTATTGAAGCCGACGGATTCGGTAAAGATAAGGATGCGATATTGCCTCTCTTGCTTCCGAAAGTCATGGAAGGCCGCCCCATTGAGTCGACGAGTCTCCTTCTGTGCCGACTGCCACCCGAGATCTTGGGGGACATTATGGATCTAATAGCAGATGACAAAGCTGCCCTTTCTTCCCTCGCCTTGGTGAATAGCGACTGCAGGCAGTTAGCTCGCTCCTGCCAATTCGCCGTTGTCTACTTCGATTACAGCCCAAATTCAAGGCTCTTGTTGCGCCAGCTCATGAAGGAGGCGATCGCCAGGCTTGGCCACGATGATCCAAGCAACGCCACCCGGCCGCCGTTTATTGGATCTTGCATTCGCAGAGTTGTGGTCGAGCCCCGCTCAGACTGGGTCGCTCAGGCGCATAGCGATCTCTACAATTCCATTTGGGGGGACGCAGCCAACCGTCTCAATTCGGAGCATCGCAACGCATTGTCCAAAAAAGCGACTGATCAGTACATTGCGATTTACCACGATCCCGTCCAGATCGCTATGAAATTGGCAATGCCCCACCTAGAGGCGCTGTTGTGGCATGATGGACTGTGTCTCGATGGCGCCTTCTTTGGGACTGTTACAAACCTGCCTATTCGGCACCTTAAGCTGGCCGGAGCTCATATTGGAGAGATGTACCGCCTCGAGCCGCCACTCGCGCCGCTTGTCGTGTCATTGGAGTCGCTCTCTCTAAAAGTAGACCTCTGCACCAACGAACGGTTTCATAGGAGCGAGACAGACAGCGATGGCGATGCCGCTGGCTGGAAGAACAGAAGCTTGTCACCCTTCATACAAACCCTTCTACAGCGCTGTAGCACGACTCTCAGGCGTCTGACCTTGAGCTACGCGGCTTTTACGGGAGATAGGTTACTTTCATTCGATGAAGACGTGTTCTTCCCCCATCTTCGGTACCTCGATATCTCCGGAAACATGAGCATTCCTGATGCACGAGTCTGGTCTTCGCTGTTTTCTGCACCGCTGAGACATCTCTCTCTGTCATTTACGCGTTTGCCGGCCGGCCAACCCCTTCGTGACCTTGAGACGCTTGCCATATCATATCTCGATGGCGGGAACATGGGAACGGTACAGTCGATAATCGACTTCATTTCACGTCACCCCGCACGTTCGGAAACTCTCCATCGGGAGAAGCACGCCCCATCTCCTGGACTCGCATCTTATCCCACTACTCTCTGATGGAAGATGGTCGAACCTAAGCTCCCTTTCGCTAGCATGGAGCGAACCAGCGGCGGAAACACAACCAAACATGGCTACTATCTCGGCGGATTCCCTAGCTGCTGTTGGCAACATCGAATCGCTGGAGCAGCTATGCCTAAGTGCCGGCGAGCAATTTGGCTGGCGTCACCAGTGGTTGATCGACCATAATGCGGTGCGATTGTGTCTACAAGGACTGACAAGGCTCAAAAGGCTTGCGTTCTCACGAGATACGTACGTGCTTCCAGACGGCGCGTCCGGCCCCGGTGCGGAGGGGTATTACGAGTATCAGCGCGTGACATCGGCGGATCGGAACAGCGCCCTCGAACGACCGGAATTAGACAGGGGTGAAGATGCTGAGCATATGGCAGGAGGCGAGGGTAATAATGACGGCCCGGAGGCCGATAGCGCAGAGGTTTGGGAACGTGCGCATCGCAACCGCATGCTCCGAGAAGCAGAAAAGTATGCCGCCGTGTTCCCCCAACTAGAATGGATTTACTGCGGCCAGTGGCCCATGGAGATTCGAGCAAAACAGACGTCGAAGGACATAGTTCGTGTCGCTATGCCTTTGAGCATGGAAAGAGACTCCTGCTGGACATTCCTCGAGCAAATGTTCGCAATGAGGAGGGATGATGAGTAATTGTATTTCGTTATTAGTGGGCCTGATGGTTGATGGATTGGCATTGAAAGTTGAAAGGAGCCGAAACCGTACTTGAAAGGATTTTAGCTATGTTACGGGATTCCTCCGTTCTTGTCACCTTGCTCTTATAGTTATTTGTCTCATGTTGTCACGAACATGCCAACAAGTGGACCCCGGGAACGCGGGACGCCCGAGCCAGTCATTTAACGAATCAATTACAGGGTGCTCCAAGGAGCACCCGAGAGCCAAGAAGGGCGGCCAGTCAGAAGCTACTCTCGTTAGCTCTCGGGAGCCTCCAAGAGCCATGAGCTCTAGTAAGCTCTCAGGAGCTGCTTGGAGCTCAGAGAAGTAGATAGTATATAGTCACTCGTCCTGGAGAGCTCTGGAAGTTCTCCAGTTAGCAATCACAACTACAGTTCGCTACAAGCTCGAAAGCCTACCGTCGAGATGTGACGAACCTGTCTCTGGACCCGTCCTGTTAGGGTTCAGTATCGGTCGAAGGTAATCTTTCAAGGGTGCTTAGGTTCGGTGCAGCCAAAGGGTGCACAACAAAGACTTGTCTCAACAGTAGGCTTTCGAGCTGGTAGCGAACTGTAGTTGTGATTGCTAACTGGAGAACTCCCAGAGCTCTCCAGAACGAGTGACTATATACCTATCTAATTCTTGGGTGCTCAGTGTGCTCAGTCCGGGTTCGACAACTGAGCTCACTGATCACTTCTGAGTTACAATCGTCCTGATTGGTGACCTTGCCTGGTGCTCAGTGTGCTCAGTCCTGGCTTGGCAACTGAGCTCACTGATCACCATCGATCCTGTTCCTGCCTTCCGATTGGCTTATTCCATGACTGGCCCGGGGCGTCCCGCGCCCCGCGGTTCCGCCTGTTGGCATATTCGTGACACGAGACAAGTCTTGTTGTGCACCTTTTGGCTGCACCGAACCCTACTGCTGCAATGTTGCAACCAACGGAGCTGCGCGTGGGAAACCGAGACCCAGTGTTCCCTTTCCTCAGCGGTCGTTCGCGCAGTGATTGAGGTTGATTCCACAAGATGTATCGCGCCTTCTACATTGCGATGTTAGTCTAAGAAACGGATAAATAGGGGCAGTTAGCGGTACCGAATAGAGCCGCAGCTCGTCGAAGAGTGTCAAGACCCTTGCAGTATTTGGCGAGCGCCGTGACAAAGTCTCCTTTGTGCCTCTCAGAAGCTATTTCGGCGAGACGCTTGACCTCCCCAGGAGCCAAGCGTTGCAAGTCGACCAGCGTCGTATAAAGTGGCAGAGTGATTAGCTCATCAAATGGAATCTCCCTAGATTTGTACCGATTGGTAGCTAAGTAACGACAAGTCCGTTCGGGATGACGTCGCCCATCCTTTATGAACATTTCAAGGCCCGTTTTAGATGATGGCTCATTTTGCATGGTGGTCAATCTTGGATGATGATCGATTGTAGATAGTGGTCGATTCGAGATGGTGGCCGGTTTGGACGGGCGGATGGTTTTGGACGGATGTCAATTTTGGACGATGGTCCTTCCCCTCTCTTCTTTCCCCGCATGGCTGCATACGTGGCAGCCTAGCTACGGAAGACGATAGCCGCCACTGTTCCATAACCCATAATTCCCATAATTGCCAAGATTAGACTTACACCACAAATTCCCGGTACACCCCACAACACAGCTTTACATTGAATGTTTTAGTACATATTGGTCACATGATATATATATATACCATACCTAATACCGTCTTTATCAATACTAAGCTTTACCTTTTAGCTAGTTAGATAGTTAATTCGCATTATAATTTATTAGTCTCTATGACGAGAAGCAGATATTCCATGGGGTCAGGCCACCAGTCAATACAACTATAATATCGAAACTAAGACAAAGAGAAAAAGAGAAAAAGAGAGGTGGTGGGATCGCTCGCGATCGTTTCGTAGGGAAGTCGGGCGAGGCGCCATGCGCGCTAACCCCGATTGAGCCACAGTGCCATCACAGGCAACCACCTCTCGTGACAACCCCCCCCTCCACGAAAAAGCTCGTCCGCGAGCTTTTGCTCGGAAAAGGTCCATCATTTCCATTTCCATTACTTTTTCTTCCTATTGGATCGCCTCAACGGCGCGCCCACCATGACTGGTTCGTTGTCATCCTTGTAATCCGCCGCGAACTCGTCGCGTTCGGCCATTTCCAACCATATTTGCAATCGTGTGGGCGGGCCAGACTTGTCGGGGTTCGCGTCATGGAACTGTTTCAACACTTCCGGCGAGTTCTTGAAGTCGGCCGCGGGATCAACCCCTGGAAGACTTCAGTGGGGAGTCATTTCGCATGGCGCGGACCCGATATCGCATCGGAAACAACATGGGCTTTGATGAGCTTGTTACCTATGATGCGGTTCGCGGTGACCAGACGGCCGTTACGTAGCGAGCAACCAGAAGTGTAAGTAGGTCTGCAAAAGCAGGGGTGCTTGAAGGACCAACCATCAACCGAACATAAGAAGAGACCGCCGGCTTGCTGGCGGCCACCTTCGAAAATGTTTCTGCGTTTAAACTCTCCTGTTTCAAACTCCGATAGCCGAGCTCCGCTACCGATTAAAGCAACGCCCGTTCAGGACTTGCGAAAGCATTTATAAATAAGGATACCTTACTTTAATCCAGTAAAAGATGCGGTAGAGAAAAACAAACCTAATACCTCCGGCTGTAATCGGGTGGGCAATTTAGACCCTCTATCGGTAGTTTCATAACCGTCATCACCGCATTCGGGTAACTTAACGATAAAACTCTCAACACCCCTCCTCTCCGAAATCTTAGAGCTACTACCAGGGTTTCAGCCCCTAACCAGAGAGCAATTCGGGCGGTACTTTACTGCTATTCCGCCGCGGAACTTACCCCGTAGCTATCGCGATAGGGCAATTAACAGCCTTTTCCATTTATATCGAAACGGACCCTACAATTTCCCGACAGAGTATTGCAGTAACTTGGCCACTGTGGTTAGATTAAGTCGACGATGGATGGAAGAAAACGCCCGCTAGGATGGGCGGGACCTTGTAGGACGAAATGCGTTTCTGCTTTCAGCAAATAATAGAGTGCAACCGTCGTTTATCGCAGCAAGGCCAACCTCGGTGCCGATCGTCCCGATATACTGTCGATACCCCCGAACCAGTCCCTGACCCAATGGACCGAAAAAATGCTGGAACATGTACGCGAAGTCTCCGACCGAAATCTTCGCAACGCCAACCTCAGTATCGAAATGCCGGGGGGATGCAGAAACCATAAAGCCATAAGACGAGACGCTTCGCAGCTGGTGGTTGGCATGAAGCCCTCAGGGGCGACCGTCATAAGCTGCCGTCTTTCCCATCAAAAACAAGCACTTTCTCTCGCAGACCAAGCACAAGACGGCGAATCAACAACAGCCGCCAAGTGGCAAGTGCCGGCAGTCGACGGGCTCCCGAGATATCCGGACGGCGCCGATTCGGTCATTTTGTGGATGGGCTGAGTGGAGCGAGGGCACTCCCTGTCCCCGGCGCCGCCTATCAAGCGCCGAGCCATGACTCGACCAGGCCCGCAACGCCAGGGACCGCCCCTCCCTTTGTCGTCGAGTCTCGCCGAGTGAGCTTGGAATCGTTTCATATCCTCAGCGGCGAGCGCCTCGTCAAATTCTCTCTTGATGGCGATGTCTTCTGATGATAATGGCGCCTCTTGATCGTCACCCGAGAACCGTGGGCCGGGCTCGTCGAAGTCGCGGCGAGGGGGCGCAGATACTGCGGCGCGACGGCCTCTAGTGGACGGCCGGCCCACTGGCATCCGACCAAGTCGAGGACGGCCACGCGGCCGACCACGGGATTGCGACGACGACGACCGAGGGCGGCGCGAGGGCACCGGCCCAGGTCGGGGGAGCTGTGGTTGGGAAGCCTGCGAATTGTCATCGTCGTCTTCCGCGGGGCTCTGCCTAGGCTGTGCAGACGGGGGGAGGCCATCCCCAACATCCGCCGGCTGTTCTTGACGGAACAAACCACTCATGGTGGGGGTCTGCGACGGCTGTTCACCGTGACGGCGCTGGACACGATGCTGTCGCTGGATGGCCGCAATCTGCCCACGAGCAGCCGCCATCTCCGGCGCATCTGTCTCGACACGTCCGCCTTGGTGGTACATACCGGCAAGCACCCGATGAGTAAGGTTCTGACGGGGCGCGAGATGAACCGGATTTGGCAATGTCGGGGGAGCGACCGGGCCACGGGGGATCGCGCTGGCGGCCGAGATACGCGTCGCTGATGCAATATCCTGTAAAGCTGAAGTCAGCAGAGGTAGAAGTGGCTAAATATGATGTTGATTAATACTGATTCCCTCTGGTGTCCTCTGCAATCCAGACACTTCGTAACAATCCTGCTACCGCGCACAGCGAAGAACTGATCGAGAGGTTTCTCGACGCGACATTCACGGCACACCCGCTGCGCTGGCATAGCGCCCTCCATCACAGCAGCATATACCGTCCATAACGAGCGTATGTTGCGACCAGGAGGAAGGCAAAATAAGTGTTAATGAGGAAGAGTCGCGAAATATATGTTTTGATGAGTGCAGGATTTGTGGTCAACGCAAACAAACAATTGTTTGTCGTCGGCACCGACAGCTTGAGCTCGGGTCCAGCTTGCGCTCGGCTATCGCCGCATGCAACCGGC